CACCGTAATCTGCTGATCTTGAGTGACTGTTAATTACAAATTAGCTGGCCTGTTACCTTTGGGTCTATTATTAACAATGGAGAGGAGAATAACCAGGACTGTGTAAGTAGGCTGAACTAGGAAAGGAAATGCCAGGGCCTCTTCCTCCACACACTGCCACTCCTGCCCGGAATTCTCATGACCAGCTGGACAGCTCCTCTCGCCCTTCAGACCCTAGAGCGAATATCCTCCAAGGTGTCCTTCCCAGATTCCACAGCTAACTGTTCTACTGCTCTTTGCTGCCTTTTTGTTCATGCTTTTATGTGACAGATGCTGCTATTCGCCACCCAGCTTCTGGCTTCTGCTTTTCCCTGCATTAGAACTTTTTATTTAAGATGGCAATGGGCTGACTGAGAAGGGGGTACCTCTCTTGGCCTGGGAATCATTATAATTTTGAAATAAAAACACCAGTGTTTTAGGTTCTGCTAAGGCTACTTGGGAGAAGCCGGCCTAGCCGCAGAAGGGCCCCTCTGTTCTCTCTTCCCTTCCTTCCTGTTGGCTCTAGAAGCTTCTGGAAAAGGAAGTCTTGCCCTACACATGGAGAATCAGGAGAGCCTGGTTCTTGTGCAACATTTGGATGGATGACAGTGTCACCTCTCTCTTGGGATGGACAGAGTAAATCCCTTAGGAAGCAAAGCCACAATTATTTGACTATTTCTTTTATAATCCCCTGTGCAAATTTCAGTGTACCTGTTACTGCATACTCTATTATTAACATGTTTGTCTCGACATCAGATAACGGGTTAGTTAAGAACCCTTGTTTTACTAATCTTTGCATTTCTGTCACTTTGCACAGCATTTTACTCAAATGAGTTGTACATTTAATGCTGGTAAACGACTGACACACAAAACACCAACTATAGTAGCTGGCTAATAACAGGCTCATGGCTCATGGATAGGCAGACTTAGACTGCAATAATGGGCGACACACATGCATGCGACAATGTGTGTGTGTGCTTGTATCCGTGTGCACAGAGAAACAGATAGCTATACATACCAACAAGAAGCCCAGTGGAATCCTCTGTCCTGATGGATGAACACTATCGTGATGGGACAGTGCTTCTTAGAGACTATTTCCCAAGCGTAGCCACACTCCTTATCAGGCAAACACCCAGAAGGCAATGTTGAGGTCTGAGTTCCCAGACCCACTCAACTCTGCATGCAACATCAAAGCAAGCTGAGGATCACTCAGAATTTTGGCAACTGTGCAGACTCTTTTTGTGCGGGGTGGAAACCTAGCTAAACATTGGTGTGATACAGTTTTCTAGTACTCTGCATACTAGGCGATATTTTGGGTATTGGGGGTCTAACCTCATTACCATCAGAATGATTGCAGAATGTAGGTTACTTAAAAATGAGAAGCAATTTAGAGA